ACACACAGTGATGAGGTGAACTCAAGTAAATTATTTTTTTTATTGAGTAGACGCTAAGTGTCCACTAGGAATTTCCGTCATAAGATTAGCTACGTTAAACGTTCTTCATACCTTCTTCGTCAACATATACCGTTCGGGACATCACTAGACGAATTCTCGTTACACAACAGTTTTAAAAACAAAATAACAGTCTAGTTTCATCTCTAAACAGTATCACATGGAAAAGTAGGGGTAATAAATGTTATAGAAACTGATTAGACATTGTAAACGAGTGAATAAAATAAAATAGCATACAGAGGTTCAATATCTGAGAGTTCACAACTTTGAAATAGTAAATTTCAAGAAATAAACCCAAACCCATTATTGATAGCTTAGTGGATGAGACAGTTACATTTCAACTATCAGATTACATGTATAGACTCTTTGAATCTTTGTTAGGTTAATCAACAAGGTGGCTAGTATAATTGTTCATCACATTAAAAAATGAGACCATAAATTGACTACGTGGTTATTGGGTTACAAAATAAATTAATCTTTTAGTTATATTTGTCCTATTCAATTATAGATTCTGTATTTAACTTTTAACTTGTTAGTAGTAATAATGTGATATGAGCTACTTACAGCCACATAAGTAGTATATAACCATGGTCAGGAATAGAATGTATTTTAATAGAAGATCGAGAAGGAAAGAACGGAAACAGAAAGCAATTGGTATGAAAATGCATAAACAACGAAATCTGAGACGATTGACTGATATTTTTCAAATAAACTATTTACTGTATAGTTCTCAGATTTTAGTAAGATTTTCTGTAATTTTGTGCTCAAATACATTCAGTTGTCCTCACCTGTGTTCTACTTCACTACAGTAGTATTTGTATTATTTTTTTCTCCTATTGTTCTAATAGTTTAGGGTAACCACTCAAACTAATTTATATCTTCACTAGGGTCCTATCTAACTTGGTTGTATAATTTAAAAATAATTTCATTATTAACCATAATGTTTCTTCGCCAAAATCACTCATACAAATCATATTCATTATTACCCAAGATATATATATATATATGATTCTTAGTAGTTATCGTTTTTTTTTAAAAATTAACAGACCAAATATAACAATTTTTACTTAAATTATATTTATTTGTTTATGTGATACAAATCCATCACCTCGTTTTATACGGAAAGAATATTTATATGTAAGTGCTTGTTGTAACTGTGTGTGCATGTAGATTGGGGGGGTGAGGGGAGATTGTGTATATAAGCGTAGTAGCAAAACTGGAAAATTGAGAAACGATATATATATATAAAGTGATAATCCAAATGTAAACTTTAGATTATCACTTTATTTATCGATTGACTGTATAATTTACAGTTTAGTTGTCCAGTTTATATTACTATAGATTGACGATACGTATACATATCAGTAAGATGTGATTTATAAACACAAGAATAGAAATTTAAACAAACAAACAAAATTCTAGAACAAACATCTTTATGATATTAATCATTAAAACTTATTTTTGTAATAATTTATCCCAATCTCTTTTATATATTTATAACTGACTTTTAGAAATCTGAAATCATAAAATATTGTTACTGAGTACTTTACATAGATAAGCCTTAGTCAGAATGTGATAACTGTCGTTCTAAAGCGATTATGACCTTGTATTTCCATCACCTTACTAAAGTATTTACTCTGGTTATTAAAGAATCTTCCATGCTTCCATTTTATGCTTCTCAGTTTATATATATATATAGTTACAGAATGCATACCAATTCACAGGCATCAACAAATGGATACAACATGAATATAACATTGACCACCATGGAAAACCTGGAAGAACTGGTCTAGCTTCAATTGACTCATGATCTCAACTATTGAAATATTGTTATTTACATAACAGATAAATGGACAAATAAGTAGACTGAAATATATATACATTCAGAATTCCAAATCGAATTATATTCAATAAGATTTCCATATTACGTAACAGATAACAAAGTATAAGTCAAAGTTTAAACTGTATTGAATACAAAAGTAAAGTGTTAATCAATATGAAAAAAAACAAACAGAAAAGGATTAAAGGGTAAAATTTTAAACTGATGCTTAACATTTCACAGACTATAGTCAAGAAATTTATACTATTCTACATATTAATAATTTTTTAAATGGATATCATATCTACCATTGAGTTAATTCTAGCTTTTGTACAAAATAACTTTTCTACTTTCAATCGAATAGTTTATCAATAAAGAGCGAGATTTCATCATATGAAACACTTCAAAGAACTTAAATACCTTTATGTACACCATGTCTATCCGCTGACATATCTCTTCATTTAAAGTTTACGTTACCTTGAGATAAACAACTTATTCTAATCAATTCTTTTACTATACTGATGCTATTGTTTTAAAACACTAGGAATAAATTGACAAATGATTTCACAAGAATCAATCAGTTAGTCTCTTACTCAAATTACAACAAACTATACAAATTCAATGAAGTTTGCATCTTATTCTTCATATTTTACATTTAGTTGTAACCATGAGTACTAACTCCGCCTGGAGCCCATCTGGGGCTACTACCGGTCCAAAGTCCGGATAAAGGAGGAGGGTTGAACATGGGGTTAATGACCCCACTAACTCACTAAAAGAACACTAACCAGAAAAAAAATTATTCAAACTATTTACTGTTGGCAGCCTATGCTCTATTGAGAGTAACAGGTATAAGTTAGTAACCATGAGTACTACTGTTGTTATTCATGTTTTCATTATAAACCAATAAATGTTCGTAAATATTTTGATTTACAATAGAAATGATTACTGAAAATTGTCAAATGTATTGATTCAGCTAACGGAAAAAATATAGACTAATGTTGTAACAATGCATACACACAATAGAAACTAACTATATACATATATACATACATATATATATAATCTCTATTCACTTTGTTGATCATCTAATGATAGATTAACACAAAAGTTTCGAATAAAGAAATGCCAAAAATATTAGAAATGTCAGTAAAAAAAATTTGATTTTTTTTCTCTGTAAAATAAACTCTTACAAGACAATAACAAATTGTACACGGGATTATTGTGTTTACATATAAATTGTAAATCAAATGATTATATATTTATGTATCAATTAGAATTATAACCAGTTCCTTAAGAAAAACAAAATGTGGTGGCGTTTAAAGTGAACGGTATCAGGTTCAAGTTCCGGGGTACACATCAACTCTAAGATATAGGTATATCCAACTGACGAGTTCTGAATTAGATAAAACATACGTCCTGAACTTCAATACTAGCCATCATCCATCATTGCTCAAAATATTAGATTTTGAATCCTCAAACTTTAAGTTTGCCGATACCGATTTAATCGGTTTTAAACCATTGAGTTGAAAATTATATATTCCATATTTGTCAGTCTAAAGCAATACTCAAATAATTTATTTAGAAAATAGGAACGATCTAATACTAATCATTATATGCGTTATAATACACTAAACGTATTATGATTAGTTACCGTGTTAAACAGATAATTTATTATAACAATGTCATCTATTCTAGTGTGTAAAACCTCGATGAGGAATTCAGTTTGATTTCGTCTTCATTGCATTTATTGATAAAAAACTTGTTCGATAAAGGCCAACGAGTCTACAAGTTATATATATATATATATATATATATATATATATATATATATATATATATATATATATATATATATATATATATATATATATACTATACGATCCATAAGTAGGAGTGTTTCAACAAATTTCTACCAATTTTTTTATGAATATATTTATTTAATATCTACCATAAATGCTGGTCGGCGGCCTATACTCCATTGAGAGCAACAGGCGTAAGTAGATAAGTAGGTGCCATAAAACAAAACAACTGAGATAATAAATAACAGTTTATTACATATTTTGGAATTGTTAGTTTCATTGTTAATTTTAAGGAAAAAATAATTTTTTTCTCTCTATGCCGTCATATCATTGTTACATTGAGAGATATTAAGAAAAATTACCAGTACTTGAGGTGAGACCATAACTGATGGACAAACCAATCAGATATAAGATAACAGATCTAGGATTTTGGTGTGACATGCATTCATCCATTTGGTTAAACAGAGTTTTGGCATTATAACTGATATCAGTTCATGGTGAAAACCCTCAATGTAAATTCTAACCTTAACTATCAACTGTAAATCATAATTTGAATTCCCCACACAAGTTTATAATCCTCATTTGGTCCTAGCTATCAAGTGGACACGCTCAAGGTCAGTCTAGCGTCACTCAAAGGTCGTTCATAAATTATAGTCTCATTGAACTTGATATTGTATTCATCTGCTACATGATAATATTTACTATTTGTTATAGTGGATGTTATGATATCTTTTTATAGCTTTCAACTGTATAAATTCAACCAGATAGGCAAACCGATGATATATATTACCATGATTTATCTAGTCTATAGAAAAGAATTATTAACAATATTAGAATTCAGTGAAGTTATCAATCTGTAGTAAATAGACTTGATTAATGGATTATTGTTCAACAAATAATTAACTTTTGAGGATTGATATACATTTCTTTGTATTAATGGCTTAGTACAACATGTTTTCATTTGAACATTAATATAGTCTAAAATCGATTTATATCTTTACCATTAGGCAATATACCTAGGATGATATCGATATAAGTACAATTGTTTTAATGTTGACCTCAAAAAACAAAACAGTGGTCTAGGAGCTAAGCGTTCGCATGCTAGATCGATAAGTTCCGGGTTCGAATCCAGCGAGGTGCGGGATCGTGGATGCGCACTGCTGAGGAGTTTCACATTAGGACGAAACACCCATCCAGTACGTCCAGATTTTCCATGATAGTCTAGCTTCAATTGACTCATGAATTAGACTATAAAACACAAATGCTTTATTCAATTAAAATAATACATAACCAGTATTATATTTCTACATTAATAATTAACTTACTTTGTGGGCATTACGTCTAAAAAATGCTTTACATGATTCACAAGTTAATTGACCAAAATTATGATTTACAGCTCGATCACCGCAAACTTTACACTTTTTTTCATTAGAATGATTATTGCTATTATTATTATTACTATTAACATTATTAGTAACCATAGTATTATTACAATCAGTATGATTGTTCGATTTTAAATGTTGTTGGTGAAAATTCAAACTAGTCAATTTATAATCTTGATTTGTATAATATGAAGATGAAGGTGAAATGTTTGTTGTGGTTGTTGTTACTAATGATGATTTTGCTGTTGCTGGAGTTATTGTTAATGTTTCTGTGCATAAAACCATTGAAGATGACAATGATGATAATGATGAAAATGAAGAAGATGAACAAGAGGACGACGATGAAGATAATGATGATGATGTAGCCGGTGAATAATTTGGTTGAAATATTGTAGGATAAATTTGTAATGGAATTATATTTGTATCATAATGATGATGATTATTATTGGCAGCAGTAACAGTAGTCTCATTATTATTATTATTATTACAGTAGATATTATCAATTAAATCATTTGATATCACAGTATTCCCAGATAAATGTTCAGATGTTTCAAAATGATTTGACTGTTCAACTAAAGGTCGCATCATGATAACATCATTATCACTGTCTTGAACATGAATATTTTTACCATCAGTCATGGTGGTTGACACAGTCTCGATTGGAACAGGTAAAACACTATCCATTTCTGTATTATTTACTTTAATATTTGATAATTCATTACAATTTTTATTCATGTTCTCATTATTCTCATTATTAATTATTAATGAATAATTATTATTATGATTATGTGTTGTAATTATTCCATCCGATGTATAATGTAAATGTTCTTGTAATTGTATTTGTGAATGTTCTTGATTTAACCATATCACTGATTGATATGATTCAGGTATATGCTGTTGAATACATTTTGAATTGGAATATTGTACATTTGATAAAGTATTTACCGTGGTATTTGATAGAAAATAATTCGATTCTGAAAATATTGATGAATATAATTCATTTTTTTGTTGTTGTGTTAATGCATAATCACCATGAGGAATTGTATTAGTTGAAATTTCATTAGGAATTATATTATCATTATTAGAATTGTGCAGTTGATCTGTTGATTGATCCATACCATAATGCTGATGTTCATGATGATGATGAAGATGATGAGATGAATGAGGATGTGAATGAAGTGGATTGGGAATTATTAAATTTGATTGTTCAAATGCATAGAAAGGATTATGACCAGGTAATTGTTGTGAAATATCATTGAATTGATTAGATAACTAATAATGAGAATAAGAGAAATATATAAAGTTCTTTTTTAAATATTAAGCTTTTAATTATTTACTAACTACTTAACAAAAAACCGTAGTCAAGCTGTAGAACCATTGTATACCGAAGAGGTTTCTTCTCCGCTATTAAATCAACATATTAAGAAATCAGTATGGGGGTTGTGGAGATTGTTAAGTTTTTGGTTGAGACCATGAATTAATTGATGTTAGACCACCGTTGGAAACCTGGAAGCACTGGACGGCCGTTTCGTCCTGTATGGGACTCCTCAGCAATGCGCATCCACGATCCCGCACCCCGCGGGATTCGAACACAGGACCTACTGGCTTCGCGCCTGAGCACTTAACCATTAGACCACTGAGCCGGCATCCAATGGTGTTAGTGTCTAACATCAACCAATCCAACGAAATTGCGCGACCACCCTCCCGTGTCGGGTAGAGACAGTTATCTACCTCAGTACAATGGAAGGTGGTTAAGTGCTCAGGCGCGAAGCCAGTAGGTCCTGGGTTCGAATCCCGCGGGGTGCGGGATCGTGGATGCGCACTGCTAAGGAGTCCCATACTAGGACGAAACGGCCGTCCAGTGCTTCCAGGTTTCCAACGGTGGTCTAACATCAATTAATTCATGATCTCAACCAAAAATATTAAGAAATAATTAAGAGTATGCGTGAGGTGAGACAGTACATGGTTATTATTTTCTGTGGTTTGCACCATAGATTGATCCGAAGTTAAACAACCTATGTATACTAGGAAGCACTGAATAACTGCTTCATCTCAATACAGGACTCTTCAACAATGCAACTGCACGAATTATCAAAGATTGAACCCAGAACCGTCGATTTCACCCGTGAACGCCTAACTTTCAAACCATTGATTCAGCACCAAATGGTTTACATGTTCAACTTCAGTCAACTCTCATTTGGTTAATAATTGCTACAAATTTTACTTGGCTAGACTTCATTAGTCACGGCTTCCCACAAGTACTAAACAACTATTCAGTACCTCTTACTTTTCCATAATTATTCAATTAAGATCAATCTGTGATGTTAACTGTGAGACTTAACAATCTCTATAAATCCTTCATGATTATAGCAAATTTTTTTCGTCCTTTTTCTTCTGTTTTAATTTAAAGCATTTTAGCTGTAAATGTTAATGTGAATTTTGTGACGAGAATGAAATTGCTCCTATACTATACTAAGTAATGAATAAGATCTATTGTACCATTGAAGAAAAAAATAAACACGTTTCAAATGAGAACAAAAAAATTTGTTTCCGACAATGTTTAACAAGTTATACTGTACAATACTATTTATAGTTAAATTGTCTACTAAAATAGTAACCTTTTGATTAAAAAACAAAACAAAGAAGCGTTGAATATTGTCTTTAATCATTATTTTTTTAATGATACAACATCCTTCTATTTTATTGTAAATTACCGTTACTTTTTAGGGCGAGACTATAATCTATGGATGAACCAAGCAGGTATAGGATAACAGATCACGGATTTTGGCGTGACATGCATTCATTTATTTAGATAAATGGAGTTTTAACATTATAGCTGATATCAGTCCGTGATGAAAACCCTCAATGTAATTTCTAACCTTAATCATCAACTGTAAATCATAATTCAAATTCCTCATACAAGTTTAGAATGTTCATTTGGTTCTAGTAAGTAGGTAGATACTCTCAAGGTTATTTTAGCTTCGCTCAAAGGTCATCCATCAATTATAGTCTCATCTTGTTGAATAAATAAATTGACTAAAAATAGGAGTATAAATAAATGAAATTGATGAGAAGCTTTCTTCTCTGAATGAGTTCTATTTCTTACCACATTTATTATCTTCACAAAGGTGATGTTTCAGTTTTCTTATGACAAGTTGTAACCTGTAGTTGATAAACATTAATCAATCTGAATATGATATGGTGATATCGTCATAATATATTACTATTATTAGTTCCGAATTAATCAACTCAGTCTTCTTGTAAAAATTAAATAACTTTTATAATTTTTCGGCATGTGAAATGTTTAAATAGTAATAATTGTTCCTTAATAACTCCGCCTGGAGTCCCTTCGGGGGCTACTGCCGGTCCCAAGCCCGGATAAAGGAGGAGGGTTGGGCATGGGGTTAGCGTCCCCATCCCGTAGAAAACTAACTCGCTAAAAAAACGCTAACCAGAAAAAAATTATTCAAATCTTTTAAACTCTGCCCTGGTAGTCAGAAGGTCTTCATTTAGAAGAATTATGACGCCTCATGATGAAAGCCGAATTCCTTCGGAAGTTACGAGGCCGATGCCCCTTCTGACAACCAGAGCGACCATTTATTTAGGTACATGGAATGTTCGTACAATGTGGGACACCGGAAGAGCCTACCAAATTGCTGCAGAAATGAGAAGATACAACCTAGAGGTACTTGGGATCAGTGAAACACATTGGACACAAGTTGGACAACAACGACTAACTACAGAAGAGCTCCTGTTATACTCCGGCCATGAAGAAGAAAATGCACCACATACACAAGGAGTTGCATTGATGCTGTCCAAACAAGCACAAAATGCACTTATAGGATGGGAATCTCATGGACCAAGGATCATCAAAGCCTCGTTTAAAACAAAGAAAGAGGGCTTTTCAATGAACATCATCCAATGCTATGCGCCTACCAACGACTACAATGAAGACGCTAAAGGGTGGATCTGATGTAGATGTGAAGGCTCGGATCGGCAAAGCAAGAGCAGCATATTTACAACTGAAGAACATCTGGAGCTCAAAGCAACTGTCAACCAACACCAAGGTCAGGATTTTCAATACAAATGTCAAGACAGTTCTACTGTATGAGGCAGAAACCTGGAGAACTACAAAAACCATCATCCAGAAAATACAGGCGTTTATTAACAATTGTCTACGCAAAATACTTTAGATCCATTGGCCGAACACTATTAGCAACAACGTACTGTGGGAGAGAACAAACCCGATCCCAGTGGAGGAAGAAATCAGGAAGAAGCGCTGGAAGTGGATAGGACACACATTGAGAAAAGCACCCAACTGCGTCACAAGACAAGCCCTCACATGGAATCCTAAAGGCCAAAGGAAAAGTGGAAGACTAAAGAACACATTACGCCGATACATGGAGACAGACATGAGAAGAATGAACAAAAATTGGATAGAACTGGAAGGGAAGGCCCAGGACAGAGTGTGTTGGAGAATGCTGGTGTGCGGCCTATACTCCATTGAGAGTAACAGGCGTAAGTAAGTAAGTAAGTAAGTAAGTAAGTAATTGTTCCTTAATGAATACTTTATACACAGTTTTGTGTAATGTCAATCTATCACTTTGTCACAGAGACTGCTTAATATATATTACTTAGTCAAAATGTGATAACTGTCGTTCTAAAGCAATTATGACCTTTCCATGTTCCCATTTTATGCTTCTAAGTTTATATATATATATATATATATATATATATATATATATATATATATATATATATATATATATATATATATATATATATATATATATATATAATTACAGAATGCATACCAATTCACAGGCATCAACAAGTGGATACAAAATGAATATATCATTGAAAAAGAAATAAATTAAACCATGTTATTTGAAAGATCAGACTTCATAAAACAATGTAATTAAACATTTATTACAATGATGTAAAGTAGAGAACACCGACAAAGAATTCATTGTCAATGATGACATCATTTAAGAGTCTTGTTTCTGTATCTGTTTACATACCGTAATAGTTATTAGTCCTGTTATTATATTAATTATCTTTGATAAGTAGCATCAAAAGAACGTTAGTATAGAAAGATCGTTGTATAATTAAAACGTTATAAACTGTTAGATATTAAACTTTATCTAAAACAATCTAGAACGCCAGTGTTATTCTAAATCTAATACTTTGTCGAGAACTTTCTAATTACTTGACAAACATATCACTAACGATAACAGCTTCTCAATAGAACTCCAGGAGTATCGCCTAAAGTCAGTCACTAGTGAGCAGATGATTTTTATCAGAAGGGGTTTGTGGAGAATTCAGAAATTTCACAGATTGAAATCATGAGTCAGTTGAAGCTAGACCACCATGGGAAACCTGAAAGCACTGGACGGCCGTTTCGTCCTAGTATGGGACTCCTCAGCAGTGCGCATCCACGATCCCGCACCCCGCGGGATTCGAACCCAGGACCTACTGGTCTGACTCATGATTTCAATCTGTGAAATTTCTAAAATCTCCATGAACCCCTTCTGATAATAATCATCTGCTCACTAGTGACTGAATTCAGGAGATACTCCTGGAGTTCTAGTAAAAAGCCGTTACCAGTGGATTTCAACCACGTCTGTTGTGAGATATCAGTTCACTGAAGACAATGGTGTACGGTGGTGCACCTTCGTGGATTGGTTGAATTTAGACATTAACACCATTGGATGCCGGCTCAGTGGTCTAGTGGTTAAGTGCTCGCTCGCGAAACCAATAGGTCCTGTGTTCGAATCCCGTGGGGTGCGGGATCTTGGACGCCCGCTGATGAGTAGTCCCGTACTAGGACGAAACGGCCTCCCAGTGCTTGCAGGTTTTCCATCGTGGTCTAGCTTCAATTGACTCATGATTTCAATCTGTGAAATTTCTAAATACTCCACAAACCCCCTCTGATAAAAATCACTAATGATCAATAATGTTTCTAAATAGTATTTATTACTAACATGAAGTATAGTTTTTGTTAATATGGACGTTTAAACTTTATATTTAAGGTTATTTGAATGAAAATTAGTGAATAAAGATTGAACCGCTCTATCATGTCTCAACTTGATTTGAAAACAGTTTGATGAAAGTATCATTTGAATTATTATGGTTATGAGATGAGATTTATCCCATAATTAATAATAACAATTTTTTCTAAAAAAAATTACTGTAATTTATGAAGATAAATTGAATATTTTGATAATTTTTATCATGACGCTTTTGCTAATGATGTCGTTCAGAAGAATGAT